TCTAATTCCATATGCGACTGCCGCCTACTACGCGAGATGATGTGTTGCGCGCGGTTTACCGCCGCCGACTGGAGTCGGTCAGCCAGTGAAATCCCTCGGCCTCCTCTCTCTCTCGATATTAATAAACACTCGATCGCGTCATTCTACCGTCGCAAATTCTCGCGCGTTGTGTTTCTTCGATTCCATCGCTTCGATTCATTGCTCCGAGTAATAATATAATAATTCCAATAGCCGGGCTTATTTGAACGGGCCGAGTACCAACAAAGTTAGAGTAATGTTATTGACTCGCCCGGTTGGAAAGAGACGCGAAATTTCAAAATTATTTTTTTGTCGTGAACAATCTTTAGCCGCCGTACGGTGGCCGCGTATTGCAATAAAAAACAAAATTTGTTCTTGTTCAAACATGCGCTCGATACATAACACGCTCGAGCCTCGTGCTACAATAGAAAAATATAATGTATTATTTTCTTCGTGAATCATTCACCGTTTGGTTATCGCGGTTTAAAAAATTAATGCAAACGTTCGCAAACATTACCGCCGCGTTGTCGTTTGCGTTTTTTTAGCGGCGTTTATTACAAATATCGAAATTGTTGGATTTTTTAATTACACGACATGGTTCGAGTTGTTTTGTCCGACGGCCTACGACCGAGTGACCGCCGCCGCTCGTTTAATACACATCGGTTAACGCAATCGCGTTTAACCGCAATGAAATCGACGACATCGCTGTCGTCGTGGCGTTCCATCGTCGTAACTCTTCTCGCGGTCTGTCGTTTTTCCGACGCGTTCGATTGGAAAAATCATCCCAACGGCAAACTCGTCGGGTCCGAGGTGATATTCAGCGTTCCCCGCAATGTCGTGTTCGGCACGATAAACGGCGGCCGCGTGGCCGCGTGGCAATACCTGTTGGCCGCGAGAATCAGGTCGTACAAACTGCTGTACGCGTTGGCCAACTACTGCAGGTACACGATCGGGATGGACACGCCGGGCCAGATCAGAAGCATGATGTGTACGCCGACCAAGACGGTCATCGGTTTCATGAAACGGCACAAAACGGACGTTTCCGATCTGGAGAAACTGTTGAACGACACTTTTTCGAATCCAAAGTACGCGAACGCCGACACGGCTCTGACCCTGTTGTTGTTGTTGAGATTCGAAGACGGCGTTTACGATCTGTTGTTTAGCGACGTGAAAACGTTCAATATTTTAGTGTTGAGGGTGTTGCCAAATGAACATTTCGACGGCAGACTCGCCGAGGCGATTAAAGCGTGGACTTTTTTCTACAACTTGGCGGACGACGAGGAATCGGTAGAATACGTGCCGGCGAATTTCCAACAGAACTGTATGTACCCGGCGCAATATTTTTACGGTAAAATCATCGGCGAGCACGTAATTATGGAGCCGGAAAAAGGAGAAGCGGAACAAGGTAACGAAAAAAAAAAAGAAGAAAAAATAGAGATTGAAGAAGTATATGAATGCTCCGTAATGTGATCCGGCGGCGTTGACGCGTATCGCCGAGAAAATAGGACGGTAGACGCGCGCAAAGAAAATAATTATAAAAAAAAAACATGTATATTAAGACGGAAAAATTTTAAACTTTACATGTTTATATGTAATAAACGAATTGAGTTAAATTAAAAATTCAAATGCCATTTGCTATTAAATTCAAAATATGTGTTCACATTTAAAAAAATCGAGTTAATGTTTTTTAACCTTGGAGAGATGAAAAATATCATGTTTTAATACATATTATTGTAGTGTTTTTTGAATCAAACAATATTATCCTCGACAACATTTTAAATTAACAAATAATAAAATATAAATGAATAGGTATAAAATAATAAAAAATAAAATTTTAAATTATTTGTTGAATGGAATAGGTTATGTAATTAAAAGATTTAGAAATTATTATTTTATATTAAATAGTATTTAATATAAAATGTCAAAACATATAATATAAGAGATTTACAACGGCGAAACTACGACTAAACTGTAAACATGTATACAATAGGCTGCATTGAGTAAAACAACATAATCGTAAAAGGAATGTGTCCCTTTGACCTTGTACTATACTAACATAAGTAAAAATACATTAAACTGTTATCTTAAATAATATTACTGTACCCAGTGTGTTGATTAATGATATCAACAAAAACAATAAAAAAAGTATTTGGCGATCTACCGTCATTTGAAAATATTTTCGAGAATATGTAAATTGTTAGTTTTATACGATTCAACGACTATATTTAATTTCAATATTTCACAAATATTTTATGTTTAAATTTTTGGTCGTATCAAATCATGAGCTAATCATGTCACGGTACAATACCGTAGGGTGTCTCGGAAAGCCTTAACAACGGTCGAGCCAATCGAAATGAATAAAATCGTGTAATGGTGTCTCGATATGTTTGTATTTCATAGTTGTCGAAAAACAATTGGCAAGTATTGATAATTATTAAAAATTAAAAAAATTGTTTTTTATACACAGGTCGAAATTTTTCCTTAAAACTAATCTACAAAACGGCTATCTTAAAATCTTAAAAAGAATTTCAATAAAAAAATTAATTTTTAAAATATTTTTTGTAATTGCGAAAAATAACATAAAACATATTTTAAATATAGTTCTATATTTTAAAAATTGATTTAAAAAATAAAAAGTATAAAGTATAAAATGTAGATCCTAAGTAATATGAATTGTCAGTTAGATCCGTTGCATTCTGTATATATACATACTTAAGATGGTTATCTATTATAATTTATTTACTTCCGGTAAAACGCCATATTTTGTTTATAAAAGTGTACCTATGCGATAAAATAAGTAATTATTCAAAACGACGTGACTGTATTTAGAGACGGTTAGGAAGGAGAGTCAAAAAGTCTCGGAGGCCAATGTCATTTGATAGTGATGTGACAAAAAATTGCTTTATTGTGCTCGTAAATATTAATACTCCGCGCCAAAATCTTAAATACAGACCTGAACGTGAGTTTCAATAAAAGCCAAACAATTCGGTTCTGGCTACCTAACCTAAAACCGATGTTTTATACTGAAACGTTACATGGATGAAGTATATGCTAATGAACCGCGGATAAAACTAAATGGATGTCAAATTTTTTAGTAGATAGGCAGGTAGAATATCAAAAGAAAAACCGAACTTATTCAGGATTGGCGGAAACGATACGGTCAATTTTGGTGGAAACGATAATCTCCCGAGTTTTTTTTTGACTTTAATCACAAACTACGACGACGACGACGACGATTGTTTTATCATTATTGTTTTATCATCTAGTCGCCGGGTGCACTTAAGTCATCGATTCGGTCGGTACGAGAGCTGTACTATTTACCCGGTACACGAGTACGCGTGCTTTTAAAACACTGTTTTTTTTCTCAATATATATTCGTTTAAAACCGCAAAGAAAGCATACTACCGTAAAAATACTCATTAATTTTTTGTGTTTAGTAAACGTTATTTAATACGCAATATATTTATTTATTCGTCTTATATTTTGTATATATATTTTATATATTTGTCAATCTATAAGAAAATTTGGTATATTTTATAGAAAATTTACATCGACCGATATAAAAATTTGTTTTTTTATTGAAAACGATAAAAACGGATCGGCTACCCGTTAGCTTTTAAAAAAATTACACGTATACATGTTTTTCATAGAAAAAGAAACCGCTTTTTTTATTCGCCGTCACGGAGCTGTCCTGTTTTATTTATTTTATTTTATTTGAACGATGTCGTTGCGTAATGACAATAATTTCGTGGTGATAAATTTAATTTTAAAACTCGAATAGACAATATCGTTATGAATATATTAAAATGTTTAAATAATGGCACAATTCAAATATTCATAACTATTTTTTTATAGTTATATCCTATAGTTTTTAACTAATTAGTAATAATATCAAAAATTATTTGTGATGAAAAACATATAATTGCTGATTTGAATTTAGCAGTTTAAATAATAAAACTATATCTTTTTCTCTGGTGAAAATTTATGGCAGACTATTTATTCATATTTAACGTCAAATTATTATCTAAAAAGTCTTTGTCAAGCCCTTCAATTGTTATACACGTGTGCAATAAGTATAACTACTTTATAATTTTTTATAAATACTCCAAAAAAATTCCAATACTAAATTATTAAATATCGATTTCATATTACGTTGAATTGCTTTAATAGATATTTATTCACAAATTATACTTATAAATCAACAAATAATTAGGAATAATGATTGAAATAGCAGTTAAATTTGCTTTTAGAATAATTAACCAATTCCTTAAAATTAAAGACTATCTATAGATTTGCACCGAAACGTTTTTTATGATAATGATTTTAATCACTGTCAGCTATCATCTATACTGGACTCAACTATACCACTACCCCACTTTGCCACGACCCAACTGTGTTGGTTTGTTATTTTATAAGCTATATATATATTTAATTTGAAAAATTAAATTTGACACCCTTTTAAGGCATAAATGGATGATTTAACAAACATACTTTATAATAAATAAATCGAAAAATATATAAAATTAAAAACACCATAATGGATTTTCTTCATATAATTATTGTTTTAAGTTAAATTGATTGGCTAATATTAAATAATCACTCTGTATAATATGTTGGTAGACTATAGACAGCCAATTGGGCATAAAGAATACATAAAATAAGTTAATTAAATAATATAATGATAAAATAGTTTATCATGTAAAATAAACCAGCATAACTCTATAAAAAATGACATCGTGATGTAGTACATCTATAGTTACAAAAAAATATGTACAAAAATTGTATGATATAAATAAGCATTAATAACATATTATAAAAATATATTAAATTCTTAAATTAACAACTCACATGCAATATTAGAGCTCAATATGTTGTTTAATCAATTACATTATTTAATTAGTTTTATGGCAAATGATTTATGCTATCTATTTTTGAATATAAAAGTACTATTAAAATAAATATCTATAGTTAAAAGACTTATAAAGAGTTTTAAAAAAATATCTTATTATAGCTTGTTAAATTATCACATAATAAAATAATTTATATATTGTCAATTGAAAATGATTTTAAAGACATTTACTGCGATATTATTTTTGTTATGTATTGTGAAGCTAAAAATATGTTATGGCATAAAATTCTGGAAGACAAAAGATAAATCATTAGAAAGAGCTTTAAAGTTAGACACTGGTTTCGAGTATCCTAGCTATGAGGATCTATGCGATTTGTCAATGGAAGATTTCAAAAACAAAATCTGCCCAGGAGATACAGTATTAAGAAGTATTACTGATTCAATAAAAACAAAAATTCACTTTATAGAGTTGGATCTCGTTTGTGGTAATACATTCAATCTTCTTCAATATTTGAATCTTATTTATTTTTTCATTAATATTCCGTCTGGACAAACATATGATATAAACAGAATTATTTTAAACGAATCAATTACAAAACATATTTTAGTTATTTTGATTAAATACATTCACAAAAAAATATTTGACGGTTTTTGGGCAATGCATTTTTATATTTCTTATATTCGATTATTTGGTAATGAAATACATCAATGTCCATATAATATTGTAAATGCTCACCAAATCCTTCGCTCATTCTTAATATTTTTTTCTTTAAATGTATGTAGATATAATAATAAGTATGACGTAAAAGATACTCCTTCAGATATTTCGGAACAATATTCAACTCTCACGAATCTTATAGATGTTATGAATCGAAGAAGAGAAATCAACAAAAATGTATTGGTAATTGGGGACAAAGATGAAAGTGCATTCTCACTCAGAAGTATTTATATGTGCGACATAATTGAAAACAAAGAATTATTGAGAATTGTTATAATGGATTTCGGTGAACAAAGTAAAGATACGTTTGATGCTATTTATAATGACTTACACGAAGCATACAAACAAGCAAAGAATTATTTTATGTTTGATTTATGGATAAAACGAATTGGAGTTTATCAACGAAAAGTCTTAAACGTTTTTAAAACCGTTTTAATGAATTTAATGAAAAAACACTTTATCTACAGTTCTTTAATGTTAGACAATGAACAAATAGATAAAGTAAAATTTTTCATAGATCAAATAGCAAATTCACTTCAAAATTTGACTTTGTTATTTAATGGCGTAGAAGCTCATGATTTTGAAAAAATGTTTAAATCTCTCACAGATTTACCCTCAGATCATCAAAATTTTAGATATTATCATGGTGTTTTGATTTTAAATATCGAACGCATAATAGATACAATAAAACCCAACTTTTTTAAATTAATTTCAAATGATATAATTAGTGACTCAGACTATGAATCGAAAATCAATTTTGAAACTATAATGTATATTGTAAGAAATGAATTGAATGAAAATAAATCCATCAAAAATATTGAACATTTTTGTCTATATTCAGATTCTAAAGGAATGAATGATAATTTTGTAAGAATATTTTTATTTACAAATTTATTAAATAAATCATTCGAAAAAGTAAGCATAATAAGTATTTTATCATGTTTAAAATTTTGTGAATCTTTGGAAACACTTGGTTTTAATAACCATGGTTATGTAGATGGTGAAAATGAGGAAAGGTTATTGGAATTATGAAACATATTTTTTAAAACAAACTTCAATCAATTATTTACAATTAT